TCGGACAGCTGTTGTCACTGCCCAGTTATTTCTGATCGTTCGTTGCAGAATCGCAAGAAAACGGATTGTAGGTCGCAAATGCCTCGCATCCCCGACTAGACGAAACTTCCTGCCCGATGAAAACTACTACATTAATTGTTTCATTTTAACTTTCTGTATTAACTTCGTCAGAAAAAAGATTCATGTATTTCGTTTGATGATGACGACGATGTCGGGACGTGAAGGCTACTATGCGATAACAGCAGTAAGCCAATTGACATTTAAGCTTCTAGGCTTTCCTGCCCTACAGATGGGTCGCAGGTGGTACTTTCATATGATGAAGACTCGTGATAATCTTTCGCAAACGTTGTTCGCATGTCTCTTCTAAATCGGAAACGTCTGTTAGAAGAAAGAAACTTTACTCATAAAAACTTTCGCTGGTTTGCGGAATGCACGGTCTCTGATTTCATTTTATATATTTATTTGCAAACTTTAGCAGAACTTATATTAATTGTCGATGCCGTGTAACAGTATGTGCGTTAAGAAGTGTCTGATCGGAACTTCTAAAAGATAATATTCCCAGCGGTCCATTGAAATAAATGTTATAATATAGACACTTAAGATAGGAGCCTTAAGCAAAATATATAGGTGCTTTGCAGCAGTTCAGGTGATACGGGACACATGGTTCGCTAGTAATAAGGTATTTATATTGTATTTATTTACGCGTCTATTGAGAAGCTAGTGTCCCTAAATCTAATTATCTTTAAATATATCGAACCATCGAAATAATACCACGTCTATACATCTAAACTTGCCGACTCGCTATTGAAAATACGGTACAAATATGCAATGCAAAATAGTCATTTACAAGATAGAACATTATAATTTCTACAGATTATAATTCTTTTTAAATAAGTAAGTAGCTGATTTCTGCCTTTTACCACATTAACATTACTGAGGTGCTGTGGAAATTCTAGCCCCAATTGTTAATGTCAATAAAACAAGCTGATTCGTTCAATACCATTGGTTTAGGTTTGGCCTTCCTCTTAGGATCTCAGCAAGTCTCTGTTTTTAGGACCGTTTTATTGGGCTTCTGGTACTTTCGTTCTCGTTGTTGATAGTGTTGTTGTATTTTCTTTGCCGTATTCACGTAACGTATTTTGCGTAATAAGTCAAAACAATACAATTTTAATGTTAACCAGGGCAAGCCTCTGCTTGCCGCGAAGAAGTCATAACTAATACGTTTTACTGCCGTGTTGAGCTGATGTTTTAGCTCATTTTAAAGATACGGAACGCCTCGATGGTACAAGGGCAGAGTGAAACGGATAATATATTCCTCAAGTGTCGCTATACTGTCATACGAAAGCCAGCCATTTTTTAACTTCTTAGCAGCGCTTAAGACCGGCGCATTATCTTCCTATGACCTGGCTTTCTTGACTTCGTCTACCGCCTATACAACCTTCTCTAATAGCTGGTAGCAGGGCAGACTTAAAAGATGACTCTCAATGTTGAACATCGGCGAGCATATATATATGTTTCTCACAATGGCCCTGACAAAGCCAAGCAGGGATATAGCATTGTTCGGCCATATTTGAAATGAATTATCGATGTAACAATGACATCAAGGAATTGTTGGGGTGTTGTCGTTCTTATTGTTGTAAGAAGAAACAAAATATGGAAATCAAATTCTAATGGGGTAACATTTTGCTTTTCTATCATTTTTTTGTTGTTATTCGTATTCTGATTCGATCCAACCGGGGGGTGCCTCCCTAAAATCGATAGAATAGCTTTAGCTAATTTCGGAAATCGATAAGCCTGTACTGCATCTCGTTCGAGGAATACCCTGCCTGCTTGTACAGCGTCTCAAACTGGAGAGTTTTGATCCGCGCGCTGTCGAGGACGGTTGCAGTTTATCGTAGGACTTGTGGATTGATTTGGATAGGATTCCACAGGCCGTGTGACAGATCGCGGCTTTCGTCTAAATAATAGGTAGCAAAAGAGTGTTTCTTCGACTTGAAGATTTTTGTCGGAGTGTCACATGGAAATTTTAGGTCATAGGTCAACTCGGTAATGCATATAGACATGCGACAAAGGGATGAGGGCTCCGTATTAACATCTTTTGTATATCATAAATATATTTAAGTCTGATATAATTATTAAGTAACTACTGCCACACAAACCTTTGAGCTCATTAACCGTGTCCAGCAATTATGTAATGTATAATTTTCATGCCGAAAAATGCATGCCGTTTGCATCCGCTGCATGATTGGGATTATGTTGCAATATGCCAGGTGATATACTTTAATATATTCCCATATAGACTTGAAGTAAATCTGCAGGGCAGGAATCATCTTGTTGCACATGGTTTGTTCTTGTGACATGTGTTTATAGTCATTTGTAGGTGGTGTTGGGGGATGAAGTGGCGCGTTTTTACGGTAATTGCTGTTTTTTGGGTTTTGACAAGATAGACAAGGGTGATAGTTTTCACAATAGCAAACACTCTTCGTGAGATCGGGTCGAGAAATGCCCGAACTAAAGTTGAGTAATTAACGCGGCATCGATAGACGCTAATAAGGTATCGCTAAGCGAAATTTAGCAAACTTCTGAAACTAGAAACAATGAAACTTTTCTGTGCAAGAGTGAAACGCGCCTGTATTAGGACCAAGGTGCGCCTACATAGTGTCGCCGCGGTGAAGTTCCGTGAAGGCCGTTTCTAGAGCGAGAAGCTGTTTCGTTTGACGCAGCATTCGACATGGACCGTAAATTCTTTGCTAGCTTACGATAAAATAAGTATTAAGCATCGTAATAGATGACTGCTTCTGTACTTATACATGAACACGCTCGCGCTGAAGTTCGTATTGTAGCTAGCCTATCTGCGGAACTGAACCGAGATTGGCTGGTCACATGTCATAACTAAGCTGCTACACCGCAAATGCGGATTGTTATTTTGACAAAAATAAGTTAGCATCAGTCGAGTCCATCGAGCTCGATGCCATAATTGAGAAGTTTTATCAAAATGACTTGGATTTTCATACGATCTTTGCAATTGAAACTGTAATCAAATAATGTAAAAAAAAAAAAAATTTTCAATAGTTTTTTTGTGCTATGTTTGCCAGTCCAATAGTACGTTCATTGTAAAGTTGAAAAAAAACTATACATATTCCATGTACGTAGGCTGCACGAGTCGTTCGGGTAATAGTCATTCTTTGTTAGGCTATTTACAAGTAAAGAATGACGCGCATATGACTGCGTAAATTCATCTGCCAAGTAAAAGCTAAATGTCTCCGACGCTTTGTCGAGGTACTAGGCTTCACCCCCCGTTGTTTTCACCTACATATATAAATATAGTTGTTAATAATTAAAAAAAAAAACAAATAAATGCCCTACAATTGTGCTTTGTTCATCTTGGAACCCATGGAAAAGTATGATTTCCTCAACACGGACAATGGGCGATTTGGTGAAAGGTAATGTTTCATTGTCATACCACATCGTAGAAGTAGTAGTCCCTTTCATAAACGCAAGCGGGATGATGCAAGCTTTGTGTGTGTGTCATGGTTAGATAGTCCGCTTTACAATACGGGAATCATCTATCAAGGGAACCGATGACGAATGTTCATCAAATACAATACACCTGTTTTGCCCATTATGAGGAAGTATAGCAATGCATGGTGTTCAATGCACAACTGGTGTCTGTAGAGGATCTTCTATCGTTTGATTCATCACAGTGGACAGGATGGAATAGCTTTAGTAAATGATGCGACAATGCCAGCAATAAAGGTCAATTCTAACACGATTCACTGCGTTTTATAACGAAGAGTTGGCTGTTGGCCCTAGCTAACGGATGGATTAGAATATAGCGAGCTTTACACTTGATGCTACTACTACTGCCTGAGTTGCTTCAAATAGCGGGCCCCTCACGGTACAAAGCTAGTCGTACGTCTATTCCTCATGACCTACGTTACGTGTCTTCAAGTTTGGCTGATAAACGGATAATGACGTCGATGACTTAACTGCGATTCCTGAAACAACTGTAAACGAGCTATCGATCACATTCGCTGCGCGTCAGTTAAAGGCCTAGTTGGCGAACTAGGTTTGCATGCACATAACGTCAAAGGGCCTAGTAAGATACCTCTCTAATTCTTCTAGTGTATCAACTTGATGACCTAGAGTTCTATATTAAGATACAGTATTGAATTGTGTCTTTGTACCGAATAAACGTTGCCGTAAGTAAATGAATCGGTTCTAGAACTGGTCGAGAACCAATAAATGAATCCATGTAGAGTTTTATTATAATGTAAATATATCGATTTACTTTTAAGCGGGCAGTAGCACGTACTTCAGACAGCCGTACTCACAGAGAACGTAGACCAGGATTAGAGCACAGTTCACTCCGCCGACGCTCGCAGCTGCACTTAAAAGTCATGTGGAACGTATTTTGAGTTTTTTTTTTCCATCTGTTTGCCGTACATTTGATTCGAATTTGATATTATCCCTAACAACGTGTGTAATACACATAGGGAAACAATCATGGTAAGTCCCGTAAAGTGTACATTTTTCCCAACATTTTAAACAGGTTAAATACATATGGAAACGGAACAAGTGTTTTCTTTCTATGTAAACTTGAAATGTGCTCGCTTATAGCTTTAACATTTTTCACACATTCAATGAGAGTGAACATTAAATGACTACGGGAAAAGCTACAAATATCTGGCATAAGTTTACTACTTTTTTATTTTCAATTTATTTCATATGATTCTATGGGACTGTCGTTTGGCTAAAACACCGAAGACCCTTTATATCATCAACTCACCATGGGCTTCTTGGTGATAACTATTCCCATGACACACTGTACAATTTCCCCGTTTACGCTCATAGATATATATCGGCGCGGTGGCTCGAACAGCCAAGACGTTTGCCTAGACAAACTAACGGTGGTTATCGGTTATCGACACATGCCTCTCAGAATCTCTGATTAGATATTCTTTATCACCGTTTAATTGCCCGTGGTGTCCTCATTTCAGGTCTAGTGACGGTTCTTGGGGGTACGATGATTTCACATGGCGCGACCACAATTCATGAGACTAAAGTGATCGGAACCTATATTCAGGGTAAATATGCTCAAATCCTCGAGAGCACTTCACGTGTGATTCAACCCAGCGCCGTTGGGGTTTCTCCTTCACCAACCTTTGCTTCACAAGGACATTCTACAGCCCCACCGGGTCTACAGGTGAGTTTCCACCAGATGGAGTGCAAGTGTAGTTGCAGATGCTTTGAGCATTTTGGCAATTTTCGCGACGGCAGAAAAATTCGCAGATTAAAAATTAGAGTATTCACCTGCAAGCAGTGTACTGCTTGGTAAAAATGACATTTAGTCTATTATTAAGCAAAGTAACAACGTAACATAAACCGGTTCTCGTTTTTGGCTGAATACAAGAAAACCTTACATAATCAAAAGACTGATATGTTCTTCGAATGTTTCAAATATATACATATATATTAGATTTATGAAAACGCTAGAAACTGCAAAGACATAAAAGAGTGAACATGCGTTAGGGATTACCTGAAGTGTTTGTCCGGTGAGTTAAAATATACATAAATATTTTTCAAGTACTTAAAAATAAGTGTTAGCTCTGAAAGAACAGAGCTTTCCGCTTATTACGTTCTACTCGGTGACGTGGTCTAGTAGTTCTCAAAGACTGTCTTTGAGTGATAATGCATGGGTGCTCTCCGATCGTCTTCTTCAACTAACATGAACCGAGGAATGAGCTCGTGTTCTAAAAGTAAAAATAGAAGTTAGCATTCGATCATGACTTTAATCGGCGTCTTGCGAAACAGTCGGTCCATTTGTTAACATGCCCCTCTCAAGTCAGTCGTTCGGTTTACCTTTCTTGGCCGCGAACGCAAGGTAACTTGAATTTATCTATATTACCTGTTATATTTAATCAAGCTCATTTTTTCCAAGCTTCGAAACTAGTTGACGCTTAATCAATCGATAAACTTAATCCTGGGTGCGATACAGGGTTTGAATGCGCGTGGCGCCTGGATGGTATTGGTTTTGAGTGAATCTTATAACTAACAACCGAAATCGATTTCCCCTTCCAATCAATTATTTTCTGGATTCGATCCTACGCAGCTTGGGATTTGGAATGATGCACAGCTTAAGAGCTTGCAATAAGCCTTAACTTTGCATGATATGCCTATTTTCCTAAAATGCGATGTATAAAAGGGAGAAAGTAGGTTTTTGTTTTTGACAAAACCATTTTTATAACCGACGCTAACAAGTAAAGAAAGATGGGTTTACATTTTGCGTAGACGTGGTATAAGTTTGTTAGACCTATTTGTTTGTAACAAAGCAGGCAGCTAGGTACTATCAATATATAATAGTTTGCAGAGACGACGTCACAACAGGATTCATAATTGTCTCTTGTCGCGCACCAAGGTTCTCTATGGACCCTGCAGAATTCTCTGTTATCATGGCCTTTCTGAAGGCGTTCGTACTTTATTTTTCCTGTACACTAATGTAATATTAATAGTGATTTTAGTCAGTTGCACACCAAGGCCCTAAACTATGGGGCCCTGGTTCTCGTAAGTGAGAGTTTTACAGTGCCATACATATAAATACGTTGCTATTCGACCTGCATAACGCATGAAGCCATGAGTTCTTTCAGAAAAAAAGACTGATATGAATATGCTGCTTATGCAACACCTAGGATACGTAATACCAATTTTGAAAATCAAAAAGGGTGCCACAGGGACTAAGTAACGTGAGGTAGCTTCACGCACGTTCGGTGGGACGTCCTGACATCTTTGTCAGACTGGAGGTTGACTTGTTTTCCTAAATACGGTGTCCTACTGGTCAATGGCTACATATGATCTGATCGTCCTCGTTAAACATTTTTCAGTACAAAAAATATCTTGAAGCTATTGAGTATGGAATAAACTGGCCTGAAATCTCAGCCTTGAGGAGCGCCAATGAGAACTGAAGCAGTTGCTTAAAAAGACATAATTCAAGATTTAATGGACGAAGCCAACCGGGTAATGTTGTGACGTCGTCGTTGTGGGCTAACAAACGTATTCAGTAACAATGAGTGTGATCATCGTTTGACTATTGATTTCGTATGTAGTTTATTACCTGGTTCAATTTCCACCTTAACCGTAAGCCTAGTCTTCGACGAATTGTGAAGCTAAGCTTATCTAAGCTGCGTGCTCTAACCTTAGCAGGTTTGTCAGACAAACTTAAATGCGCGAGAGTTATGTTATGCATTAGCATGGATTTTGTGTTGCCTGCAGAAGTTGATTGACATTCATGAACTTCTTGGCCTTGCAAATGGCCGAACTGTTCGTCGCGAGGTTTGCCGCGGAATCTGTTTTTCCAATGGCTATTCTAATATTGCACTTACCGAAGTATGTCAATTAACGAGTATGATATTTGCTCGCATTTCGCTAATGGGCACATAGGGCGGTCATAAGCAGTCGCAGTCCGTCGATAGGTACGCCGTGTCCGACGATTCGCACATTGACCCCAGACTACCCCTGGGGTCGCAACACACACAGGGTAAAATAGGGATATTTTCGGTGTTTACAACTGGATACGCTTCTTTGTTTCTAACTAGGTTCAGCTTAGTGGTCAATTTTTGCTGCTAGCTCTCAACCTAGATTTGCTCGTGGTAATTTTTACGCTCTTCACTAAATGTGATTCCTGTGCTTAACTGCTATGTACCTATTTGAGAATTCGCTTATAATTAATTATATATAGTTACAATGCCAACGATCACAGCGTCACACGTGTCAAATTCATTCTCCAGCAGCCTTGACTGGTGGCGTCCGTATCGGACACCTCATCGGTATTGCAAAAGTTACTATGTGAATGCATGAGGTTCAGTCATTAAGCAAAATTTAGGGATTCAGGTATGAAGTGGATCGGCACAAAATCTGTCCGTGTCTACACTTGTGGTTTGCAAAGTAGATAGACGAATATTGTGATTAAGCTCTCGTGTGTCAGATTTGATCACTAACTTGGTTGTTGCTGTTGATATTTACGGTGATGTCGAGATGGGTACTCACCCTTCTGTGCGATCTTCCGATGCGTGATCTTCAGCTGTAGCCTCTTCCCCTAGCTGTGATACTATGTCCTGCTTCGCTACACTGGCCGAATTACTGTTAGATTTAAGGATAATGTAAGCGCGTTTGCACGCCCATTAAAGGCGAAACTGTCCATGTCCTTTTGTTGCAGAAACTAGTGTTGTCTGCCGAATGAGTTTGCTTTACATGTTACCGTATTAAATTACGGAATTAAACCTCTGATAACCTTTTATCCGGAATAAGTAATCATATTATTATATATTGCTAGGTCTCCGAATACTTTAGTTATGCAGCACTGAATAAACATGTAGCCTGAACTAATAAGTAGGCTGTCTGTGTGGAAAGATGCGAAACTTTCCAATAGAAAAACAACAAAGGCAATAGTCTTTCATCCCTGATTCTAACGTAAAGCAATCGTTGCATGCTAGAGGGCGGCAGAAGCGGTACAAGATTTATATTCTATTACGAAAACTGATTAATAGCATGGATAAGGTTTTAGAAGTAATCACAGGTTGCGACACAGGTTTCCTTTCATACAGCAGATGAACCGTTGACGATTAAAAGTTAGCGTATTCAACAGCTCACTACTACGGATATAACTAGTCAATGAGGCATTAGGCATATAATTATCGACAGGCTTTTTGTTGGCTGGAAAAAAACCAAAGGACTGGATTGCTTTACGCATCGCGATTCCTACAAACGTTAAACGTTAATTTTTTACCTTTTTAACAACGGAAAAAGGATCACATTCCGCTAGATGCTAGGCATCATTTTCTATTTTCACTTGTCTTTTCCTTTAAAAGCGATGCGTCAACATATATGGTAAATATTAGAAGTTCATCTACAATTGAACTACGGGGAGTAACGCAATAGTGGTTAATGTTTTGGCCTCTTGGCTTTTCCCTAACGTTTTTTTTTTATACTTGATAAATATCCTCCTTCTTCAGCGCATTTTTCTGACGGGGAGACTATTTGTATTAAGCAGAGAATGGAAATAAGCCATTACTAGATTCCACGACAGATCGTTCTTCTTTTTTTTCGATACGCTAAGCACGAGCATAGCGAGTGAATGGTAATTTTGTTCTTGCAATACATAGTAGTAATAATAATAACGGGAGTAAGAGAAATTTAAAATCAAGGACGACATTAAGACGCACGTATGCGAAAAGCAAAACAGACTCGCATGCCAAATTTTCTTTATGTGTTTATGCGCATAAGAATAACGACAACAATTTTATATATATGGATATGTGTTTGCTGTTATAAGCCCGACAGCGCCACCTATATACGTAAACAAAGCCTTCACTTCCCTAAAAATTCTTCGTATCCGATACGTGTTCAGCATTACATTCAGTTATGCTGCTTGCGCTTGTTCACTACAAGCTATTAATCCGAAGACGCGCATCTGCTTGTCTCTGATACTTGGTAAGATTTGCATTTTATATGATCCCTTTGCTTTACCTTCCAGTCGGCTACTGCATGCTCTTTTTCGGAATAACTTTGCACTGATTTATTTATAACCGTCCGTACCCGGCCCTACAATAACAACAACACAAGAGCAGACGAAATGCCTATTTCATGCATATATATATATGACGCTAGTTAATTTTGAAAACGCTTTCTTCTTTATGCACTGCTTTGCCCCCGTAGCTTCACAATGGTGAATGTGTTCACAGCTGAGAACATCTGTAAGCTTCTGTCTGCTAGTTGATGTGATCGTCCTCATCGTATCACAGCCTGTTTTTGTACTGAAACCGTATCCTATCGTGTTTTTATTTATAAGATGTATTTTTGTGTCTTGAGAAGCCTTTGTAATTGCTAACCTAGCTGGCTTTCTTGTTGGTTTCATTTAGCCTCTTAACAGGATGTTCCAAGAGGCACAGTAGGTAGCGGTAATGTTCGGCCTTTGAGTATATAGTGTACTATCTATAAAGCTGATATTATCAAATGCAAGATATTGATGTAACAAATTATCGAATACGTCGAATGTACGAACTGCTCACGCGACTCACGGCTTCATAGGTTTTCAGCATGGCACTAAACGAAGCGATATCTATTATAGGTAGTATAGGGACACCTAAATACTAACCCTGAATTTCATATTATTACACACGAAAATTGCTGCAATAAACATGGAATATAATA